CATTATCCAGTTTAAACTTTTTGATATTGGTGAAGGGATTGCAGAAGTTCAAATCAAAGAATGGCGAGTTGACTATGAGGCTTCGTTCAGACTTTGCATCAGCGTACAGCAGTCTCGACAACTAGGGACCTATGGATATCGGTCTAGCGTTTCGAGTGTCCTTCATGGTGCTCGTTAGATCGACTATACTTTCCTTGTCGATGGCTGGCGTGCGCTGACGCAAAGAAAGAACGCAGCGTGGTTAACGTTTTTGATTCTCAAAAGCAATAGTAATATTCAGGCATGTCAAAGTTGGTGACAAAGTTTCACAGTTTGACAACTTATGCGAAGTCCAAAGTGACAAAGCAGCAGTCACCATAACCAGTCGCTTCGATGGCATCGTTAAGAAACTGTAGTATCGCCTGCGTTTCCTTTTGATTTATCTAACTTTCGGACAAATTTAGGAGCTAAAACGTGGATTTGTTTCAAAAATCTCAACTTTTTAGATATTATAACGTCAATGAAGTAGTGCGAGTAGGGCAGCCACTGATAGATTTCGAAGTTGAAGGAGGGGTTAAAGAAGTGGAAGCTGGTAAAGGTCATGTTCGACTGCGTTTCATTTTCAGATTTGTTTGATTCTTTCCTACTTTTTTTTTCTTTTCTTCAAAGCCCTAATTTCAAGCTATTTGAGAGGCACTCTTTGCGTTATGAGTTGTGCTGCTCAAATGCTGAAAACATGATGGCATCCAACACGAAAGTTAAGAAAGGAACAAAAAAAATTCCGCTCGAAATCCCCATGCGGAACTTCATTGTGAACTAAACTTTTCTGTGCATAGGGGGTGGTAGGAAGAGTTCTCTATTGATTGTGCCAGCTCTTTCTCGCTTCTCACCTGACTCTCACCATTCGAAATTTAGACAGTAGCGCAACAATCACCAGGAAGGTTTCAGAAATGAAGGATGGGGCGTTGATCGCTTTCGTCGGGAGCGGATCGCGCTTTCCTTATATGTTTTCGGGCTGTGAAAGCAACACATCTTCAATGCTTCCGCACAGGACGACTATATCCAAGAGAAGCGGCTGGTCATTTTCAAAGCCACAACAGAAACAGTCTATAGCTCTTTGCCATGCTTCCTCTATAAGTGCTCGCCATTGATTTCCCAGGAGAAGAGCTTAACTTCCGCGAGGTTTCTCTGTGATCCGGAAACATTGTTCTTTCCTGCGAACTACCCTTTTTTACTGGAATTAGTTCCAGTGAGGGTTGCTGTCCAAACCTTCTATTTGAGATGTAGTTCTTCACTTTCTCCTTTTTGAGAGAACTGAACTCGGCTTTAGCCGATCTTCTCATTAAGACTTTGTATAATTACTGGTGTTCTGAATGTTCTATTTTCTGAGCTCGGATATTTTCTTGTCTATTCGGATTCCAGATACTTGACTACCGCTATTTGTTGATGTTGTTTACCATTAGCTTGCATCTTTGATGGGCGAACACATATGGCTACTACAGTCGCGCAATCCCTTGGCTTAGGTAAACGAAGATCTATTTACGCGATCGAAAAAGAAACGCGTAAAGAGAGCTTACCACCACGCTCATTTTTATATTCATTAAGCTGAATTTGAGCTGTAACACAAAAGTTTTGATCCCATAGCAGAATGACATGATGAGGCGTGGCGAATGCGAGCACCATATTCAGGGACGTTGTGCGATGAATATTTTTTGAAATGGTTTTTTAGATGACACTGAGGGCATAAGTGCTCATGGCCTTGAAGCTCCATTAAGTGTTTCTCAAGCCGTGCCGAGACCGTCATCCGATTCTGAGGCTGCTTCGCCTGGAAAAGTGCTGGCTACTCCTGCTGTCCGACGAGTTGCTATGGAGAACCAAAGTTGGTTTTCTTTGTTCTCTATTTACTTTTTTGATTATCTGGTATATTAAACAAACACATGTATTCAACGCACGCTTTTTACCCAGAGTGTCGGGGCCTGGAAATATGTCAACGAATCGCCACCTTTGTTTCTTTGGTATTCGCAGCGATATACAAATGATTGTACTAGGCAATTGTTTGTACAGACTTGTTCGCGCGATGATGAAGCGTGTCAGCAGGGCTGCGTTTGGCTCGTTGCCATTCTCCAGCAATTACTGGAGAGGGTAAGTGACAACATCTGGTGGAAAACGACTGATAGGAGCGATTGGTACAGTCTTGTAGCTTGTCGATTTGAAAAAAAGAGAAAAGAATGGCTTGACGCCGCGCCAACCACAGCCCCCTGAAACACCCCATCACCCGCACTGAGCGTGACTACATGTATTTTGATGCTGTTGAAAAATCTCGTTGTCTCCAAAATTAACTTTTATGAACAAATGCGTCTTGCTTGCATATTTATTTTTGTAGTTATCTTCAAGTCACTTAAAGTATTTGAATTTAGGTCGATCTAAGGCAAGTGAAGGGCAGTGGCAAAGAAGGACGTGTTCTGAAAGAGGATGTGCTCAAGTTCCTTGGTCAAGTTAAAGAAGGTGAGCCCCGTCTATTTCAGTTTCGCTTGTACTGCTGGTACCGTGAATTGTAGATTATTCCTCCGGCTCCACCAATATTCGGTATTCACCAGCAATTGGAACTCAAGCCAAAGTGGTGGGAATATTTAGGTGTTTCGAACCGTATATGATTCTTTTACTGTTTCGAACTTACCTCTTGTATTGATCGTTCTGTTCAGTTTTCTCCTCTGTCAGAGGACCGAGTTGTTCCTATTCGGGGATATACCCGTGCGATGATCAAGACTATGACCGAAGCTCTGAAAATTCCTCACTTCGGATACGATGATGAGGTAGTTAGGCTTGAGCACAGGCTTCTAGAATGGCTAGCCGGTGTTGTACTTCTGAAGCTTTAAGTTTACGCACAATATTTATGTTCAAGGTCCGAGCAGATGCCCTCATCGCTATACGTGAGGAGCTGAAGGAACTGGCCAAGGATCGGAATGTGAAACTCAGCTACATGCCATTCTTTATAAAAGTGAATCACTGAGCAGATGGTCGAGTTAGTATGGTTTCAATAACGTGCTACTTGTTTTCTAGGCTGTCTCGCTGGCCCTTCTGGAGTACCCTTCACTAAATGCGTCTGTTGATGACAAACTTGAAAATGTGATCTATAAAGTAAGTGTCTTTGCGGTATTGCTTGATGCTTGTTTGCTTTGGCACGATTATCCGTTTTTAGGCATCTCATAACATCTGCCTCGCTATGGACACACCTGGTGGTCTCGTAGTGCCGAACATCAAGAATTGTGAGCAAAGGTATCGAATTCACAATCATTACTTCGTTCAAGTGAGAAGCGATTTTAACATACTGTTGAATATGAGGAATCTAGCAACCACGTTTTCCACAGCAGCAAGCTGACTGCTGCTAGCTCCCCCCACCCCTCTCCTCGAAATTTCTGCTTCATTAGTGAGACACAGCAGTTTGCTGGAGAAATCTCGCAACCGGAAAATTCTCTCGCAGCCGGAAACTCTTGCGGCCCCCTCTCCCCAGAATAGGATTCTGTTGGAATCCTGCCAACGGTGAGCGCATAAAATGACATAAATATGAAACTAAACACTGTTCCGTGGTCATTTACTATCCGCCTCAGTTTTGTTTTCCGTAACGGGATGTTTGCCCTGCTCCAGCCCTTTATGAGCGTTTGGGATTCAATATCGTAAAGCCGAACCAATAGGAGCGATAATCAAAGTTTTCGCATCACATTTTCCAGGCGCCGATTCAACAGCCAAGACCAGCTTTCTCCCTTCTAAAAAAAAGCTTCAATGCATTCAGGGCAGTTCTTCAAGAATTTGGGTCCGTTCTGGAGTTGCTCCCGTGAAAGAGCGGCTCTTGTTAAGCACGTCAGTCTTGTTCGCTGGGGATGAAGGGGCATGTCAGGCGGGAGGGGTTCGGCGCGGCACCGGACCAGTTCTGCTCCAGTTCTTGAAGCAAATAAGCGACAAAATTCGGTAGTGAACGACTGATGCGAACGATTTGATGAAATCTTGTCGCTTGCTGTCCAGTTTGGTGGAGAACGGGTTCGGACGTCAAACCCATTCTACCTGACACCTCCCTTCATCCGCAGCGAACAAGACTACGTATCGTTTACCCTGCACATTGAGCAGCCCTCCCTCCCGGTCATATGCTGGTTCTAACCACTGCCAGGACAGTTTCTACCTTTCGTTTTAATGATCCTGGTACAATGGTACAATTTTGTACGGTTCTTCTTTGTGGGAACGTGCCCCACTGAATAAATACAATTTGTGTTGCTACACTGTAGAAGTATCTCTTTTCTTTCCCAAAACTAGCAATCTGCCGCTCCCCTGCCCCTCTTTCGCTCGTGCTACCGTCGTTGCTATCCTTGAGGCCATTTTCAGAGCTAGCGCCAACCTTTCTCGATACCTTTCGATAGTTTGACTGTCTTTGAATAGGATTTCAAATGTACATTTCGGTATTCTCTGGCCACAAGAGGTATCCTCCCATTGCCGGCGGATTGCGTCTGTTTCAGGAGTGCCCGTTCACTTTAGGCATTTTTTTTTGCTTATATCGATTTTCCATATGATTAGACTAATTTTCAAACGAATAGGAACTTGGCCAGAATTTCTTTCCCTGATCCGGCCCTGACGGCATACCCAGCCTTTTGTATGCGTATTAGTATTCATTTCAAGTTTGCCCAGCGCACATGACGTTGTGCTCTACTGAGCGCTTATGAACTTCACCTTTGCCATTCGAAGTTCATTGTCTACGAATTCCGGATAAGCATACAG